GGCACATCCCTGGAAGGGGGTGTGCAGGAGTCAGCTGGTCGATGTTTCTAGCTTTCTATCCCTCTCTCTTCCTCTCTGTAAAAAAATCAATAAAATATATTTTTAAAAAAATACATGGCTGAGAGATTGGCAAAGAGTACACACAGGGCCGATGCTCAATTAGAAAAGCTAAATAGGGTATAAAGATAAAGGATTGATAGCCAGAGTAGCCAGTAAATAACCATATCACACTGAAGGAGCTATAGTAGAATATTTAGAACAAACAGGGAGTTAAAAAATCAGGGGTCAACCAAAAAACAAACAAACAAAAAAAACAGAAAAAGCTAAATAAACACCACAGGTAGAGGACTAATTGGCTTTTCCATTATTCAGTTCCATTTACTTATTTCTCTTATTTATAGATTGTGGGCTTTTTAAGGTATTCATGGCAGAAAGTTCCAGAACATCTGACTGTAAATTTATTTGCCCAGTCACTTATGGACTATAAACACAACAGTGTGATTCCAGCAACTGCTACTTCCAAGGCTCCTTGAACCTCAGTTACTGTTTCTATGCACAGGAGGTAACTGGCCCCAACAAACATTTTAGTCCAATAAGTAATTCCAACTTTTAATTGTGTTTACTCTGTTAGTATCAGTGGTTGTCAGGAGGATAGTCTGTGTGGGGAGTAAGATAATTTTTTCTTAACAGCCTATATAATAAAAGGCTAATATGCAAATTGACCCTCATACCCTCACACAAAATGGCCCCTCACATGATCAAAGATGGCTGCCACAAGATGGCCAGCAGGGGAGGTCAGTTGTGGACAATCAGCCAGCAAGGGAAGAGCAGTTGGGGGCATCAGGCCTCCAGAAGAGGGCAGTTGGGGAAGAGACCAACCTTTCAGGGGAGGACAGTTGGGGGTGACCAGGCCTGCAGGGGAGGGCAGGTAGGGGTGACTGGGCTGGCAGGGGAGGGCAGTTAGGGGTGACCAGGCAAGCTGGGAATGGCAGTTGGGGGTGATCAGGCCTGCCGAGAAGGGCAGTTGGGGGCAACCATGCTGGCAGGGGAGGGCAGTTGGGGTAATCGGTCCAGCAAGGGAGGGCAGTATAATAGTAACAAATTTTAGTTTTTGCTTGAGTTTGAAGAAATACATATTTGGCTAATTCCATGAGATATTGATAATCTGATTATAAGTCAGGCAAATTCAAATATGTAAATCGACTTTAAACAGGGGTTCTGCAGAAGGCTACCTAAAACCACAGTGAAGTTAAACATTGTTTTTCCTGAATAATTGTTTTCTATAGATCGGTCTTCTCATTTATTTTCACTTAATCAAAATGTACTGTTAAATGTTGGATCATTCCAAAACTTAATACTGAAGAGAAAATTACATTCTATTAAGTCAAAGAAAGGTTATGACTAAAACTATTGTCTTTGTAGCTAAAAGAAAATTTTAAAAATTATATTATAATGGCTGTGTTCTTAGGAAAAATATATGAATTGTTCTTTTCAAATTTCTAGTTACTTATGAAATGAAGTCTTGTTATTAATATTTATCATAATTGATAAAAGATTCTTTAAGCCATAAGTAAGGGAAATTAATTATAACATTTGTGCTAAAATCTAAACTGTATAAGCCTTTTATTTTTAATGCTAAGGGTCCGTTGCAAGAAGATTCCTACAAGCAACCATCGCAGCCACATACATGCAGCCACCACTGCTCGCCTAGCCCACCTTGCCCTGCACGCCCCGCTGAAGGCTTTCCCTATGGCAGCCGCCTTGGTTTCCCCTTTCTCTCCCTCTTCCTTCTAAGCTGTCTTCAGTCTTCACTCCTCCCTGCCTCCACATATGCAAATTAACCACCATTTTTGTTGGATTAATTTGCATACTACCTCTGATTGGCTGTGGGTGTAGCAAAGGTACAGTCAATTAGCCTTTTCCTCTTTTATTAGTGTAGATATCTATAAGCTAAAAGAATTTCCCTCCCCTGTAAAAATTGTTTTTAATTAATTGGTTCAAAACACACCAAATCATTTCTTAAAATTGTAATTCAAAATTAGATTCAGTAATGGTTTTCCAAAATCAACTTGGAAGTAATCATTGTGTTATGGAATATCTGATTATTCTTTTCCAAATTGATAGAGTTTTCAGCTGTAACCAGAGCACTGAGGTACTAAAACAGAATACGGCTCCCAAATTAAAATATAACTGGTGGCAGATGGTCCGATCTCTTTTTAAACATAGGGGACTTATAATGTATAATAGCTGAACTGTATGTAAAATGTCCTTTTCTTTTCACCCAGCAGCAGAGAGGTCCAGGAGGAACAGATGTCTGTTTCTCCTGATTAAAGTGAAAGACGTTCCTGAACACTTTTTGAAGTGGTTTTTATGCAAAAATGTTCTAAGACTATTATACTTGATATGCTTAAAGTATTTTTCAAAATCAATATACTTCTATGGAGTGAGGCCTGCCCTCTAAATATCCTCAAAATGGATCCATTTCCTATAATATCAATACTATGCAATAAAAATACCAAATGCTACAGTGTTCACTTTTTCCCTCATTTTTCTTATAATTATTACCTGGAAAGTTTTCAAGAATTCTAATGAAGATATTACTCAAAGGCTAGTTCTCCTATTCAAAACATTGCTGCTTCTTGATAAATAGTATATTATGCCCATGTGTATTTGCTCAAATGCCACTCCATTCATCAAAATTATCCATTTGTCTATCTTGGGATCCCTTCTTTATCTCAGTTTCACTGAAAGACAGTTTGGGAATCACAGATAGCAAAGAGGGTTTGAAATGGTCTTACTGCTCTGAGACTACTTCTGGAAGTGCCTGGCCTTCCTGAGATGTGGCCAGCAGATTGGCCCCCAAGCACACCTGTAAAATAGCACATCTGCTTCCCTGGACCATCCTGCTCAGACCTTCTGTACTGTCAGATTCTCCATGCCCCCAGGGCAAGGACACTTACCCTGTGCCTCAGAGGAGGGCTTGGCATTCCTTTCAGCTTAACTTCTTGGTGGCGGAGCCATGTTCTCATTATCACATTTTGGATGGAATTTTGAAAAAAGCTGGCTCTGCCTCTGACAATGATGCCACCATTAATACTCTCTGCTTTCCAAATTGGACTCCTGCCCTATTTTCTTCCTTTTAGTTTTCAAAACCCAGCATAGAAATATATTAGTTTTCTAGGATCCTGGTTGGACATTATTGTTTGTTAACCCTCTCTCCAGGAGAGTAATTACTAGATGGGTTTTCACCAATGATTCTGCTGTTCCAATTCCTCCTCACCTTAGAACTAGGCCCTCTTAGCTCCCGCATGCCACACGGTCATATAAATCGAATATACCACTGTGAACATTGACTGGAAAAAAAAACGCAAATCCCACTTCAGGTTTCTTGCATGAACCTATTGTTAAGGCACTGATAAGCAAATTGGATAGTTTTTTTGCATGTGTATTTTTAATGTCTTTACCCCACTTCTGACTATTTTAGTTTATCCATGTATTATTATTATTGGGCATAATTATACATTTCAATCTTGTCACATTCTGACTTTTCACCCCATATACAGACAAAAGTCATTGGAATGGTAGTTGAATCATGCCTGACACTTAGAAAGTGCTCTGTACATATTTTTGTAAATTAAGTAGCATATTTCCTCAAATCCAAGATCCCATTTAATATAAGATATTTTCTAAATAAACAAAAACAACCAAATAAAAAAAAAAAAAAACAGCTCAAACAGCATACTTTATCCCTGCCAGGATCCCTGCCCCTGTAAGAAAGTATGATGATCTTAAACAAATAAGCTATCTCCCCACTGAGTCCCATTTTGCTTTGGGAGTTCTGCAGTAATGCCTAATAACAAAATGACACTGTTGTCATAATCTGAGCTTTCAATCTGGACCTCCTTAGCATTCTTCCAACAGACAGTATAAAGTCAAAGTAAAAGCTTTAACTTAATTCTCATAAGTACATGTAATAAAAAGTAAAATTAGGACTTACTCTTCTATCTTGAAAATGTACAGTTTCTTTTGACACCAACTGAAATATCATTCCAACTTCAGAAATGCAAAGTGCTTCTGTGTTGAAGTCTCCTACTAATATTAAGAAGTTTAAACCAGTTTCTGTTTTTCAATAACCTGGTTTCTTACATAATTTTCAACACAATAAGTTATTTTCAGTAACATCAAAAAGGAGTAAAAGAGCAGGCAATAAAACCCATTCATTTTCAATACTAAAAGGAATTCAGCACTTTATTCTAGGTGTTTTATTATGTTTTCATTTGCATAGTTATTAGAATCACTGTCAAATTACATGTAGATTTCCTCAGTTCCTCATTGTATGAAAATATAAGTGGGGAAATGTCTCTGCCTATGCAGATAGCAAAAGGTCGGAATTTGACAAAAATTAAAATGTGTAATTATGCCCTAGAAAAAAATATACAAATATAATAAATATCAAGGTGAGTGAGGCAAATATTTTGTTTAACTTTTTCACTTTGTATGTTTATCACTGCCTTAAAAATGAGTCAAGTTCATACACAATTTTTATGATAAAACCCTCAACAAATCAGAGAGAGAACATATCTCAACATAATAAAGGCCATATACAACAATCCCACAGCTAACATCAAATTCAAGGGAAAATCCTTCTAAGATCAAGAACAAAACAAGGATGTCCACTTTCACCATTCTTATTCAACCCAGTACAGAAAGTTCTAGCTAGATCATTAGGCAAGACCATCAGGCATCCACACCGAAAAGAAAGAAGTAAAATTATGATTGTTAGCAGGTAATATGATCTCATACATAGAAAATCATAAAGGCTCAACCAAAACATGTTGGAACTAATCAACAAATTCAGTACAGGTGCAGGTTACAAAATCAACATACAAACATCAATAGTCTGGTGGCTCCATTTCACGGGAGAACACTGACTAATTTGTATTCCCCACTGAGAGCGGTTATAGAAACATAAAGAGACTTACTATAAGGTACTGACTCACATGACTATGGAGGCACAGAAGTCCCATGATCTGCCTTCTGTTAGCTGGAGACCCAGGAGAGTTGGTGATGTGGCTGGAAGGGTTCAGAGCCCGGGAGCCAATGATGTAAATTGCAGTCCCAGGCTGAAGACCTGAGAAGGAGGAGCACAAAGGGCCGAAGATAAAATTCAACTCAACAGCCCAGCAGAGAGAGTGAATCCCAGATGTGGGATGCTGAGTCCTAGTTCATTATCTTGTGAAATAGAAGAATGAAGCCCCAGACCAAAATGATTGTTAAACAGAAGTTTACTGAGAGAAGTCAGTCCTAAAAAGGTTCAGCTGGGGTTCCAGGAACAGGCCAGTGTCCAGAGCTTCCTTTCCATGTTACAGTCTTGAGTAGTTAGTATCCAAGCTAATTCAAGTCTAGTAGTCCATGTGCGGAGCCCACATGGCCACAAGCCACATGGGCACAGCAAGTGCATCTCCCACCATCAACCCCAGATCCTAGCGCCAGGGGAGCGAGGAGGAGCCACTCGCTTTTTTGTAGATATGCTTGTTAGTTCCTGATTGGTTCTCTCGAAGAATATTGTCTTAGCAACATCCTTGGGATTGGTGTAGACACCTTACTGCCTTGTGATTGTTTACCTGTACACTGCCTGTCTTAGTAACATCCATACATTTTACAGTTCATGCCTCTCTCGAACACCTGCCTTTCCTTCCCACAGGTGCCTTTCATAGGCCCCTGTGCCTTTCCTTTCCCACCCTGTTGGATGCTTAGTAACTCCACCTAGGTGGGTTCCTGCTCTCATTTCCCCTCACCCCACGGTCCGGATTCCTGACTACCTAGCTTCCCTCTGTCTCCTCGAGGTAACTGAGTTTTCCTCTATTCCATGAATGGGATGGTGCTGTTAACATTGGGAGGGCAAACTGCTTTACTCAGACCAAATCAAATGCTAATCTCTTCCAGAAACATACCAGAAATAATGTTTAACCATATATATGAGCATCCTATAACTCATTCAAATTGATATATAAAATTAACCATTACAGAAAGAAAGCAAATGAAGTGAATACAATAGCTCTCGCTGGCTGCCTCACTAGAGAGTCCAGGCTGTGGCACAAAGAGGAGTTACTATAGTAGAGATGAACAGATAGTGAGGTGAGAATACACAACTGAGAATCTGGAAATCCATGACCAGAGTTCATAGTACAGAGCAGCAGAGTAGCGAGACAAGCACAGGCAGAGAATCCCAGAAGTCTAGAAAGAGGTCCTCTGAAGTAACAAATCATAAAAGCATAACCCAAAAGGATCAAAATATAGATTATCAGATTATCAATCAAACTCAATACCTTATTTGTATCTAGCGAGGCTTCAATAAAAGTTAATGGGCTTGAATTTAACTTATGTTAGCTACGTTTTTTTCTCATGGTTTCTGCTTCAGCCTATGGACTATAAAGGTCCCGGGTTTGATTCTGGTCAAGGGCACATGCCCAGGTTGCAGGCTCAATCCACAGTAGGGGGCATGTAGGAGGCAGCTGATCAATGACTCTCTCTCTCATCCTTAATGTTTCTATCTCTCTCGTCCTCTTCCTTCCTCTCTGAAATCAATTATATATATATATATATATATATATATATATATATATATATATATATATGGCTTGTTTTGCTAAGCATTCCATGTGCATATATTTAAATACAGATTACCACATAAGTGAGAGGAACCAACCTGAAACCTTCTAAATAATTAGATGGCTTCTAATCTCAAATTAGAAGGAAACAGTGTCCTGTACTCACTCAGGGCGAGGAATAACACATGCTCCCACCAGCAAGACTCAAGTAGTCATGGGGCATTAGATATAGTTTTTAGGAAGGCCTTGACTGAACAGAGGGAAATAATTTCAGCACTGTTTCAACCCCTTCTGACAAATCATAAAAGCATCACCCAAAAGAATCAAACTTTTCCAAGTAACATAATGGCATGCCAGAAGAAAGATCAAGAGGAGGACCCTGGGTGAAGACTTCCGAAGTCTGATGTTAGGAGTTAAGACAAAGCAATGTAGCCAGCAGACATCATAAACAAGCTCATACTTCTTGAAATGCTTTCTTCAGACCCTTAGGGTGATTGCTTGCCATAGAATCCAGTCCTTCCATTCTGCCCATCGTTCTCCATGCCCGGGCCTCTGAAACTTTCACTGTGCTCCCTTTAGTGCCAGTTTGGATGAACTTATCTTGTTCAACTTTATTATTCTGTCTGGGAGGGCAGGATTTTGACTTTAACTTTCCTGCTATATACAGCAGTTGTTGGAGCAGTTGCTGGACTAAGTTCTTACTTAACTTTGAATCTGACATGTGAGTAGAAAACTGAATCAAACTCAATACCTTATTTGTATCTAGCTAGGGTTCAATAAAAGTTAATGGGCTTGAATTTAACTTATGTTAGCTATGTGTTTTTTTTTCTCATGGTTTCTGCATCATCAAATAACTTCCAAGCATGTCTGTTTTTTTGTGGCTAGAAATCTCTTGGTCCTACTTGTAAAAACACAGATCTTCACTAACATCCTGCAATGGCACTACATTTCTTTTAGCTGGGCTGCAGCTGACTGGATGAGATGTATACCCAATCAAGGAGGTGGCAGTAGCTTTAAACAAGTGGAAATCCAAAATGAAATGGGAACCACAAAGCAAGAGGTCTTTTCAGACAAACAATTCACTCCCAGCAGGATTCATATTGGTTATATGACATTGGTCTATATCAAGCAGAGCTCCCGAAAACACTTTACACTCCAACTATCTATCACACATGCCAATAACCCAACTCAAGGGAAGAAAGAAGAGAGGAGGGAGAAGTTTGTCTCTAGAACAGATTCCTATAAAGTCTCTGCTTCTTAAAGCAGGGATTATCTTTATAACAAAAGACTTCTGTAATGTTAAAGCTTTGCTTTCTTATCAGGAAAGAGGGACAGATGTGTATTTTTATTGTTTTCTGAAACCTCAGAAAGGAGGAGAGAGATATAAAAACATGAAAGCGGATTATAAACTTCTTAGCTCTTAGTACTTCTGTTTCTATTTTGTGCCTCTATCAAAGATAGCTCCCTGATTTCACAATTTCAAGTGCTGACATCAGAAAGATGAATGTCCTCCAGGGGCCTAAGCGACAAGAGAGTCTGACACTGGAAGCTTATTTATTTTCAATTAAAAAAGTGAAGGAGGTGTCAGTTTTTGATATTGTTATTTGTATATCCTTAAAGCACTCAGCAAAACTATATCTAAGGTACAAATTACCCGGGGGCAATTGTGATCCCTCCTGCATTTTTCTTTAAACACAGCAGGACCCAGTTATAAAATGCATAGCTTTTGAAAGGAATCAATTACACCTCAGGTCAAAAACAAGCCTCTCAAATAAAAGGATAATAGAATTTCTCACTCGGACATTAAAAAAAATTAATCATGCAACATGATTGCTAAACACACAGACAGTCCTAAACAATGGAGGGGCCTCCTCCCAGCAGGTGATGCAGTGGCATGGCTGTTGTTATATCTTACACAGGGGACATCATTTCTACTCAGTCAATACTTGATGATTGGCTACTGACTACCGCTGTCTAGAAAATTCTGTTATGGTCCCAAGACAAATCCATGAACTTATTTGAGATAGGTTTTGTATATTGGAGCAGAAAGTCTCCTATTTGTTGTTCTCAAACATGGCTGTACTTTACAGCCACCAGGCTTACGCCAGACCCGGGCATCAGCACAAAGAAAGCTGCAAGGTAATTTCTATGTTGAGATGGTGCTACACATTCCATGTGCATCAGAATCACCTGGAGAGATGGTTAAAACACAGGTTGTTGGACAACACTCTACCCCAGGCTTTTGATTAAGAAGGTGTTACAGAGCCTTAGCTGGTCCTGCTCAGTGGATAGAGCTTCCACTTGCGACGGAAGGGTTCTGGGTTTGATTCCAGAGCACAAGCCTGGGTTGTGGGCTTGACCCCCAGTGTGGGACATGCAGGAGGCCGCTGATCAATGGTTCTCTCTCATAGATGTTTCTGTCTCTCCCTCTCCCTTCCTCTCTGAAATCAATAAAAATATCTTAAAAGAAAAAATGATGTTATGGATTGAGTGTTTGGGTCCCACAAAAGTTCATATAAGGGTTTGAAGCATTAACCCACAATGTGGTGGTCTTTAAGAGCGGGGTTTTGGGGAAGTAATTAGGGTTTAATAAGGTTTGAGGGTGGTGTCTAATCTGATGTGGGATTAGTGCCCTTATAAAAGAAACACCCCTCCAACCACCCAACCATCTATCTACAGCACAAACAAAAGGTTATACGAGCACACAACGATATGGCAGCTGCTGACAAGCAGGAGGCCTTTCTTACTGGTTCCCAAAATAGGCTGATGCTGCTGATCTGGCAACCATACTTTGTAAAGAGCCCTGCCTCAAACATCATTGTAACTTCATGTCACCTGGGGATCGGAATAGAGTCCGGATTTCGATCTAGTAGTTTGTTGTGGTGTCTAAGATTTTAACAAGCTCCCAGGTGATGATAATAAACTATGTTTTGAGTCGTTAGGTTGCAAAGACTCTGATTCAGGTGTTAACTTTGAGCTCTAGGACAGTGTTTCCCAAACTTCTCTCATGATGAGAATCACCTTGTGGAGTTGTTAAACTACAGATTCCTGAATCCCAACTAAGAAGTGCTAAACTAAGACAGAGCACTAAGTTAAGTATACAATTTTACCTATACGTTCCCAAAAATTCTAGTTTAGCACTTCTTAGTTGGGATTCAGGAATCTGTAGTTTAACAACTCCACAAGGTGATTCTCATCATGAGAGAATTTTGGGAAACACTGCTCTAGGACAATGTCTGAAATAATGGCATCTACCCTTCCCAACATCTTCCAGCACTCCCACCTATTTCAGGACCTGGCTCAAGTTTCACCTTCTGTGTAAAGCCTTCTGTGGGCAACAAGTTCATAAAGAAATTCTCTTTTAAAATTGTGACTATTACTGGTTGAGTTTGCCTCTCAGTTATTGTTGTTTTATTGTTCTTGCTCCCTTTTCTAGAGCATTTGCTAGATTCAAGGACTGCACAAAATGCGTTCTGGCAAATCCTCAGTACAGTACTGGGATGAATGCTGTTAGCCCCAATTTAAAATGACAAAAATAAAGAGTTTCAGAGAGCTTAATACATATCTGAGAACAGAAAATTAGAATGTGATGGGAGAGGGAGGGTCGCCAATTCTATCCTAGATGCCTGGCAGTCACGCCCACACCTTTTATCACAAAGTTGAGCGTCATTCATTGGAAATGAAGTACAGTTCCATATTAAACACATGACCCCATATGCTGAATGATGTTGTTACAACTGAGAGACAAGAAGAGGTCACAGAGTTCACAGTCTAGTAGAGGAGATAGGTATTGGTCATACAATTCCCTTCATTAATTTATAATTGCAAAATGCGGTAAGTGCTTAAAGAAACAAACACTATTGTTTGAAAGACTCCCAGAA